TTCTAATATGTTTTTAGCGCTCCTTCTAGGAGGGAGACTCTCTGGAGGCTCTTTCCTGCTTTGCTACATTTTGTAGCTGATTCTCCAGGTGGCTTGGAAACCTTTTATATAGTCATTGGTACTATAAAACTAGGTGATCTTACTGTAGAAGTATAAGCAAAGGAATGGGGCAGAAGGAGTCTCCAGAGAAGGTATTAAGGGGATTCCAGGACAGTGCTTTGTAGCCAAGTGAGAAAATCTTCTGGAAGGAGTTGTATGGTCCATAGATAGTGATCTTCATGTGACAGCACTCCAAGAAATGGTCACAGAAGAAGACTGTAGGATTTTACAATGCAAGAAAATGTGTGGCGTTTTTAAGACTAAAAGTGTTGCTGTTCTGTAGAACTCATACATCAATAAGGGAAAATCACACTTCTCATAATGCTTACTAAAATTGTTTATAGCAAAATAATCTCATATATTAGGCTGTAACTCGTTGCTATTCAGTCTTACCTACTAAAGGTAGTTTTTAGATTCATGGACTTCATCTGGTTGGTGTACACCTACTTTAATAACATGCTTCAATAAAACTGCTTTTAAAGGTAGGGGTCTGGTGACAAGGGTAGTCTACAGAACCTTTTCCTAATGGTTGTCCTGGAGATGGTCCTCACAGAACATCTTCTGGTGGCTCCAGGGATAGTTTACTTCTTGTAGTCTGGGTCTTCCCAGATGAGGGTGGAGGACCATTTTGTTTCTGAGCAGGATGGTTCTCAGAGCATACACAGGCTGATTGTACCTTTGAAATTGACTTTGGCCTGCTTGCCAGGCTTCTCAGAGAAATGCCTCCTTTTTCTGTCACTTTAGAGTGTCCTTTGTTGTTGGGGGGGGGGTGTTGTTGTTGGTTTGTTTGTTTTTCCAAACTCATTAACCATCTCTCATTTATCCTCTACAAACTTCAGATTTCAGAAGTGAGATTTTTCTAGGACTCTTTGCAAAAGATACACCTTCTCCTGCTCCCATCTTCCACCTTGCTTGAGCACTTTGCCAGCTAGTGGTTGTATCCCCATAGGTAATCTTGACTTATTCTCTCTATCAACACTGTCAAATTGACATAGCCAGGTGGCAGTGCCTGTTGAAGTCTTTTCCAGAATGGGAATCCAAGAGCACATGGACACAACATAGATTCCAGGTCATACTTCTGGTGTAGCAGCAGGGATGAGGAGGAGAGGGAGAGCCAAAAAGAGATAGAGAAACAGAAAGAGACAGAGAGAAAGGCTGCTGGCTAGGTAGTCTGGGTCATGAGTCTTGTGAGATATTAAACGTAGCAACAGCCATTACAGCATCTATCATGTGCCAACATGGACAGGATCATTTCTATATGTCTAACTCCATCTTTCTGGGAGCCCTCCAAGGTTGTAGAGAAATTTCATTTTCATCCTTTGGATGAGAACATCAGACTGTGGTGACTTAGTGACAGTCCCAAGGCCATGTAGCACTTTAATCTGAGTGGTATACAGAACAAAGAGAGGAATACACAGCAGGTACTCTTCTCCTGGAACCCATAATCCTGGATGCTGCAGGATGCTGCACAGAAGGAATATGCTGTCTTAGAAGTGACAAAGAGTGCCCAGGCTTGAGGGATGGCTGGAGTCTGCTCAGGTGCAAAAGTAGAAATGAACAGGACAAGTAGGGAAGATTGGATTGTCCTTTAGGGCCCAAAGGAAGGGTTAGGATGCTCTCACTTTTGCAGACCAATGATCTGTCTGTCACACTTAGCAAATGGAAGTCGCCTGGATAATAAACGGTACAGCCACGAATGGTACCCAAGAACTTGGATCCTGAGATACATGTCATTACTGCCCTACCTCATCTCTCAGTGGGGAGAGCTGCTCAGGTTAAGGCTGACTCTCATCTGCCCACATAGCTGGAGGAATTAAAGGATCACGCAGGGGACAGAGGCGTCATCCAGCCCTTCAGTGACTCACTGAGGAAGTGGGGCAAATGCATTTAGCTCAGCCATACTTGCCTTCTTCAAAGAGAATCAAACCTTTCTTCTGGAGTGGCTAAAGCATTGTCATTGATAGAAAATAGCATGTTATTTCTCAGTGAAAACCCCTAATGAAATAAGGTAATCATGTGATTATCGTTATTTAATAACCTTTGAGTAGAACTCCACACCGTAAGCCCTAGTTTTCAAAAGTGTCCTCTGCCTACTTCCAATAGACTTGCCACAGTGCCTATCCTACAGCTACCCTGTAAGGAAACTCACTCGCTTACAGTTGAAGAAACTGAGGCATGGTGAAGTGTGGATGGGTGGGTGGGTATGAAAGCTGCCTACCATTTGCTCAGTCTACACTGATTAAGGGTCAAAACTCAGATTGAATCATCTGCAGTGACTGTTCAGCCCTTTGTAGTGACTTGCTATGAAGCCCCCAGGAAGTACCAAAGGCTGCAATTGGAACATTCCTGCTCTTTCCCTAAAGGTAGGAGAGCCTTGCTGAGTGCCACATGGCTTTTGCATCTTTTTCAGAACTGACATTTTTGGATCCCCACTCCTCTAGGGAATGTCCTGCTTGCCTGTGTGGCTCACCTTATTCAGGCTACGCCAGTCAAGTCCTGGTTCTCTCTTTAACCCTCCGTCATCACTTGTTGACATGCCTTTCCTATACTGTAGTAGTTCTGTGACTCCATGTTACATCAGTTAGCCTTTCTCATGGCTGTGACAGAATACCTGACAGACACAATTTAAAGAAGGAAGGATTCATTTTGTCTCTTGATTTCGGGAAGTACCAATCCATCATGATGTGAAAGGCATAACATCAAAAGTTTGTGTCGTGGCTTGGTCACATTTTGATGATAAGAAAAGAGAGCAGGACCAGGCCATAATTCTAAGGATTCCCTCCCAATGGCTTACATCTTCCAGCTAGGCCCTATATCTCAATGGTTCTATAGACATGTCCCCCAAAACCTCCCCCCCCAAAAAAAAACAGTGCCGTTATCTAAGGATCAAGTGTTCAAACACAGCCTTTGAGGAAATTTTGCTTTTCAACCAGAACACATATGAATGAACTGCCTTGTTTCTGTTGGATTTGATAATCAATCAAATCTGGTATTGTCTTGCTTCCAAGCATGTGTATTTCTTTTTTCCTTTATGGGGATAAGAGGTTGTAAAACAAGGGGAAGGCATAAGAAAGCTGTGTAACTGTCCATCCTGAGATCAGGGGTGTATGTTGGCTGTGTTCTAGATGAGAGGACCTCAGAGTGAAGAGGCCTCCAGGGCAGCCTGGAGCATGAAATCTATAGCCTCTGGGGAAGAGATTGAAGAGGCTATTTGGTTGAACAGTATGTTTCTGAATGTACAAATTAAAGTGAGGAGAAGGGTAGATAGCTCTGCTATGGTTCAGGGTCTCTTATGTTTGTCTCTGGGAGAGATACTGGCAAGGAAATACATAGGCAGAGACAGTGACAACGTGAGAACTGGGTGACAGAACTAAGGTTAGACTTGCTTCGCGCTCCATAGAAACCATTAGTTCTTTCTGGGTTATAGGACCCCAGGTGTCCAGGGCACTCTGACCATTATGTCAGCACAAAGCTTCCTAAGCTTCTAATTGCTACAGAGCTTAAGGCTATCTGCAGGCTCCCTTGTAACCTGGACACAAGGAAATGAAGTCCCTTTTGCCTGGAGAGCAGTCCCTGTGCCTGGCTCTGAGCTCCATCTCCTGTCTCCTATGAGCTGTAAACTCTCAGTTCTGTAAGGGCAGCCTGTCTCCATCACCACTGCCACAACAACCAGTTTCTAATCTGACACTTGGGAGACTACAAAATAGAGAGCATCATGTTACCTACTGAAACACTAAGTGCCTGGCTCGCCACCTACCAAGAGGACAACTCCATTTGCCAGGCCCTCTCCTCATCCTCTCAGCCACAGTGTTGACACCAATCAAGAGCATCCTTGTGTTCTACACAGTGCATAGATACAGTGTTAGAATCAAAAATGGGAGGAAGGGTGAGGTGTGTAGCTCAGTGGCAAGGCACTTGCCTAGCATCCTGTGTCCCTGGTTTCCGTCCTCAGCTCTGTACAGTGAATAAAATAGTAAGTAAATATACACACAGACAAACCTTTAAATGAATGGATGTGATTCCTTGAGTAGGTACTTGAACCAGTGGCTCCTTTCACAGAGAGACGAGTCTCTCGGCTGACTCTGATTCCATTAGTAAAGAGCAGGTGCAACTACTCAAGTAAGTCCAGTCCTTTCCTCTAGAGATTCTGAGGGCTGAGATGTGCATAGGACTCTCTGGAAAACACAGTTATATCAATAAGGGGAGTTAAGGCTGAGCTCTATTTATTTTAGGGTGGCTTTAATTTTGTTTAATCAGAGTTACTCATAAATTATGGATTAATTACTATCCACCGCTCAGTGAAATCCTTTCTACGATGGATGTCATCCACTGTAATTGTGAGGCACTTTGTCAACATTTAATCAGCGGTACTTATTAATGTGGCATTGATGTGTGGTGGCCATCCCTACACCATCAATCACACATGAGCAGCCGGAATGATCTCCAACACCATTGCTCTTTGTCACACTAACTAGCCCCTGGGCTCTCAGGCCGAGCGTTGGTACTCACTTCTCATGGAATGGATACTGTCTCTCCAGTTCAGGGGTCCTTTGTCCTTAAACACTCTCAATTTTTAGAATGCCGCTCTGAAAGGGCTTTGTGAACATAACCTGTTCTCACAGTCCTGAAGATCCCTTCTTCCCTCCCCCTGCTCAGGAAGTATAAAATACCAAGAACCTTGTCCACAACAAAATACTGTCATATAGGGTATATGCACATACGTGCATATCTGTGCATGCATTTGTAAAACTGTCAGTTCTTAGAGTATATGGGGCAGAATAAATAGAATACTTTCAGGCTTGTCAAACATTTCTGGTGATTGAATATTTAAAGTTCTTCCTAAGGAAACTTAAACTAGTAAACAAAGCTCATGACTACCCCCTCTCTCTTTCTCTTTTTAGCCTCTACGGCAGACACATGCAAGCAAACCCAGAACCCCCAAAGAAGAATAACGACAAATCAAAAAAGATCAGCCGGAAACCCCTTGCAGCCAAGAACAAATGAGGAGGAGACACACACACACTGGTTTCTGGCCTCCTTCCTTTACTCTTCTGGCCCTCTTTGCTCTGTCCTGCAAATAAATACAGTGTGCTGGTGCCTACTTTTCTTTCTTAAAGAAAATCCTTTTCTCTTTCCCCTCCCGGTGCTTGAACACAGCCTGACTTTTGCACCTTTGAAACTCTTGTGGTAGGTGGTGCAGTTTTTATAAAGTCTTACATTCCTTCTCATTTGTTTCCTTGAAATTGCCAACTGCAGAAAACAAAGCTCTCATTCTCCTGCAAATTCCATGGTAGGCACAGGTTTCAGTTCCTTGAATAAACGTCACAAGGCTGCTTATTATCAAAAGAATAATTAAAATCATGTAACCACTTAAATGTCACAGTTAACACTTTTCATTCTTTCTGTTTATTCACATAACTCATTATTGTGCCTTATTAAAAATCTTCCCTCACCGACAAGCTATTATGTTCAGTTAACTTCCAAATGATTTTAATAAAATCCTGAATTTATATCACACTTTTCTTCTTGACTAAAATAAAAACTATAACCTAGTATTGGGGTGTGTGCATTTTTTATTACTTCTCCCCCCATTTTTTTTACCTCTTTTAATTTTATTGATTATAGATGATACTCTATGGACCTATCCATGAAAAAAAAATACAAAATTAAATCAGAGTTAGTTTCCTCTCACATCAATTTGTCAGGTTGTTTTTTTTTTTCATCTTCATCTCCTTTAAAGACTGTTTCTAAATTAGGAAGGAGGAGAAAAACAAATCTCTAGGAGATTCTGCCAGAGGATTTTGGAAAGCAGTGTTCTTTCACCAAACAAAACCGTGACTTGTGCCAGTGTCTGCTAGACAAGGGCTGGGAAACAAGAGGAAGAAACACTCAGGTGTGTCGGAGAAAATCTGTTAAATTCTCCTAAGAGACTGATGCCAAAGAAGCTGTACAAACACACACAATCTATACCATTCCCGATACAGATTCTACCTTGGCAGAATCAGTTAACGACCAGTTGCTAAGCATCTCAGTGAGTTTTCCCTCTCACCAGCAGCAGTGTGTGGAGATGAAAATAAACTCAAACACAAGTTTTGTGGGGGTACCCTGAGACCTATCAACAAAAAACAGGTAAGATGAAATGCACTCTCAGTGGCCTGTCAGAGAAGGACCTGCCTCTTTTCCGTGTTATATCTGCTGTCCATTTCCCAGCTGTACCTAAGCTATGCTCTAAGTTATCCAGAGTCAGGGGGAAAAAAGCCTTGAACTCACATGGTCATGAATTTATCTCAGTGGACGCTGCATTTCAAATTCTTACTTCTGATTAATACCCTGGGAGCATATTACCCATGAATATGCAGAGGAAACTCCAGCTAACATCCCTTCTTTCAACCTCTATGTGATAGGATGTTTACAGGAACTGAGTTTGCTTCACGATGAAGTTTTTTTAATGATTATTTTAAAACGGGAAATTGTAGAACAAAGAACAATGCCACCAACTATTGGTTGAAAGATGTTACCAACTGTTAAATTAGGAACATCATATTAGTAAAAACAGCAATGTAAAAGTTTGAGAGAGATTTCTCTTTCAAAAAGATAAGCTCTCTAGATAGGGATATGGCCAAAACATTTAAATGTGTAAGGAGGTAATATCTCCAAGAAGCCAAAGATATAAAAAGGCAAGAACTCACTAGTAATCAAAAAACTACAAATCAAAACTAGGCAATGTATAGCACTGAGAAATGAGAGATATTTTTGAGGTGGGCTCTAAGTGCGAAAGGAGTAATGGGAGACAAGCATTCTTATGTACTGCCATGGGGAATATAAATTCCCATGAAGGTTGGTTGTAACACTTGAATAATACATATAGGAGAGCCCTGAAATTATGTACTTCTGAACAAGAATTTACTTCCAGGGGTTTATCCAGAGGGCATTGCCTGAGATACAGACAAATTAGTGGTTTTTTCAGGATTGCCTTCATACATGGTGTCTATCCATGATTAAATGTAGGGGGAAACCAAATGACCCAACAGAAGGATGTTGGGCTATCCACATGAGAGACTTACATGAAGATACTAACGATCAATGAACAATATTTAAGGACAATGGGGGATATCTAATTATGCAAGATGGTTAAGTAGCAAAGAGGTACTTAAAACTATGAAAAAACTATCCTAATTTTATTTTATTTTTTTTAAATGTTTGTAGTATGTGCATGCAAAACTGCATGGAACATCTTTCCTCTTAGATTGGGAGCTACGATTTTTTTTTCTCATTTTATGTTTTTTTTAGTCTGACCCTGTGCTTCTAAATATCTATAATGACTGTATAACCTGTAAGCAAAAGACATTAAGTATGTAATTTATTTCAGAATGAAATTAGTGTATTATTACATATAACATACTCCATAAAATAAGATCATGCATTTAAATTCAAAGCATAATATAAAATGTCACGTTAGCATTTTTTGTTACTAAAATGGATTTCCACATCTTCTTTTAAGACTTATTTTATTATTTATGCATGTGTACATGTGCAGGTGCATATATCTTTGAGTGCTCACAAATGCCAGAATCAGATCTCCTGGAACTGGAATTACAAATAGATGTAAATCTCCAACAGTGGGGGCTAGGCACTGAACGCTCATCCTCTGAAATAACAGCAAGCATCCTTAACTAGTGGGCTAGCTCTCCAGCCCCCATATCTTCTGGTACTCCATGACTACCTGTTACCCAGACTAACAGAAACACCACCATCACAGTGCAAAAGGTAACCTTTGAACAAGTAGAAATCAACCTTAAATCATGTCTGCCAACTATTCATTCATGCCTTTCAGTCATTCAAGGTATTTTGCTGACAAGCATTTCATTTTATGACCTAAAATTAGGTGTTAATCATTTATATGCATGTTTTCCATACTATATATAAAATATGTTACATACCATGTATAGGATACATACATACATATGTACAAATACATATATATGGCCTATGTACATTCTATATACATACACATATATGGGAGTGTGTGTATGTGTGTGTGTGTATATATATTCACATTTTTATTACACCTTTTATTTATATGATACATGTAAATATATGTATGATATATATTTATATACATATAAATATATACATTCCCATCAATGCATTTCAGAAGATTTTTCTGCTCTTTAGTAATGTCACATATCTACCAAGACTGCATACAAATACACTGTCACATTGATTCTTATTCACACTTATCTCCTATGTAATAATCATTGGAATTTATTGTCATTACTGTTTTCCTCTTTTCTGTTAAGAATGGCATCACTTATTTGTTGAGGGCCTCTCATACATCAGGCATTTGACTGACATATCTTCTTTCATTCTCTCTTTGTGTTCGTAATCAGTGTATGTAGGAAAGGGGACCTCAGAGAAATTAAAGAATTTCCCTCAAGGCTGCACAGCTAGCAAATGTCAGAGGAAGGATGTAATGGAAGGGGCTTTGGCTCACAAGTACTTGTCTTTGCAAAGCCCATATCATCCCTCCAATGCCAACCAAGCTTCTTGGTTCTCCCATGGGCAGTTTACACTACCACTTGGAATATCTGCTTTTGGGATCCAATATCCTCTTCCCTCTAAGGATTTATACTCATGTTATCAATATCATGACCATGTCTTATTATGGGAAGTTTAGAGGCCTTCTGAAGGATCTGGTATGTCTGAAACAGTGTGGAGACCTAGAAACTGAAAGTGAATTAAGGAATCAAGGTCAGGGCAACGTGAAGTGTTATTAGAACATGCCTTGAACTAGAATGGCTTGTCACCAACCGCTTAAGCAATGCATCAGTTCCTCCAGTAACAATAAAGCAAAGGGTAGGTTACAAATCTGACAGTACATTGTCACTGAAGAGTGAATGTTCTATTCAACACACACGTGTGCACACACACACACAAGAATTCCTCAAATCATCCTAATTTTCAGGCTCACAGGCCACAATCTGGAGGTCCCATCCTGACACTATTATTCCACACACTCTGAAATTGGCACATTCTGTACACAGATGTTGTCAGCAAAACCAACTTGTCTCAGCCCAGGAAGAAAGCGTTACCATGACTAACAGCTGCAAGTAGGGGTGGGGGAGCCCAATCCATTCATAACTCCTCCAGAGTACCACCCAAAATATGCCTGCCTGAGACACTCAGCCACAGTCCTGTTGTTTGTGTGGGCTGCTTGCTGCATTTCCATTTTAACAAAAAGGCATTTTAATCTCTATACACAATGCAGCAGCAGCAAGATCAAGGCTGGCTCTGCCTGAATCTGCCTTAAATCCCACACTGTCTAACCATTCTGCTGCTCCAGCTTTGATGGTGGTGTGGGTTAAGGGACATCCTTGGGTAGATTTCAGTGACAGTGACAGGAGAGTTCATGTAAGACCTAATAGTCTGGAGCAGTGTGAGACCACACAGAGAGGAAGACACTGAGTCTGCTGACTGGAAGAGGCTACAGAGCAAGTCAACATGGATGTGGCTGGAGATGCTTAGATGGATGTAAGCTCTTCCCTTCCTAGGATGCATTTCGCCTGCCTTGGGCACTACTCTGAATTGAGTATTAATCCCTACCCCCAACAAGATCCAAGTTCATCCAGCTCTTGAGAATGTTACTGTATTCAGAAATATTCTTTGCATATATAATCAGGTAAGTGAAAAATGAGTTCCTACTGGATTAGGAGTCACAGCCAATGACTGGTATCTTCACAAGCTATCTGTGATGACAGAGGCACATAAAAGAATGTCATGAGACAATTAAGAGCCTGGGGTGGGAGAGCAGGGAGTGCTAAAAACCTAAAAATTTTAAGCAGCATCCTGAGCTTGAGAAGACAACCAAGCATCTTTCTCTTGAAACTTCAGAGGAAAGATGGCTATGCTCACTGCTGGTCAGTCTTTCCTTGCCAGCACAAAACACCGAGGAGAAAACAATTTACAGGGAAGAATAATCTACTGTGGCTCACACTTTCAGAGGTTTATGTCTATGTTCAGATGTCTCTGTTGTTTCTGAGATGTAGGGAGGCAAAACAATACGCAGAGCAAAGCTGTTCAACCTGTGGCAGTTAGGAAGAAAGATGTCACAAGACTGACTAGATAGGTGATGGATAGGTAGATA